GATCTGCTCTTCTCTCGCCTTCCAGGTCATTTCGGACTTCGACATGACGCTGAGCCGGTTTGGGTGCAACGGCAGGCGCTGCCCCACGTCGCACAGTGAGTTGCAGCTGTTGGTTTTGCTGCTGCCAGTTCTGTTTGCTTTCTGTGTTTGTGTTCTTGGTCTCCCTGGCTCCTCTTATCCTCTGGCTCCTTTGCCAAAAGCCTCACCGCTCCGTCTTGCTTGCTCTGGGTGCACCTCCAGGCCATGGCTGCTGGCCCCGGAGCAGCCTGGGTCCCGCTGCAGAAGCTGTCCCTGGTCCCTGCTGCTTCTCCTTCTACTATCTGCATCCCGCAGCTTGCTAGCATTGACACTGCTCGCAGTCAGCCGTGTCCTGCCACGAGCTGCGTGTTCACAGTGGGAGCTGTGGCCTGGGGAGCCCATGGGGAGCCTGTGCTGGGGCTGATATGCCACACGCAGCTCGTTTTCGGGAAGAGCTGGCAGTGGAGGTGCAGGATCGCTGCCTTCTGGAAAGGTTTTTTATGCTTCTGGGCTACAGCACTGGCGTTTTGGTGTCTTTACAGATATCCTCGACAACAGTCGTGTTATCAGCGAGGACGGCAAGAAGAAGGTAGGTGCTGTTTTGCGAAGCACTGCTGCTTGGCTCGGGTTTTCATCCCTGTCACCCGTCGTTGGGAGGTTGTACTGGCTTACGTGTCGGGACAAAAGCTCTGACTGACTTGCTGCCAGGCCAGAGGCTGGGACAAGTGTCCAGGCTGCGTTTCAGCCATTGGTGATGGAAAGAGAAGTTAAAAAGGGAAATTCAATCTGGGTGTGGGCCTTTCTGACCTGCTGAGCGCAGGAAGGGTGCATGGTGTGTATCTGTACCTGCTGTGCTGTAAGCAAGGTGGGAGCCAGCCCGGCTGCTGGAGGGTCAGTGCTTCCTTCCGAGATCTCCCAGTTTGCTCAGAGGGAAGGTGCTGAGTGAAATAGTTTTGGTTGTGTTTTTCATTAGGAAGCGTGTTGCTTTGGGGAGATCTCGAACTGCTTTTTTTGTTGTTTACGGCCTCTTTGACTTGATGTTCACTCTGTGCTTTCTCCATCTGTACAACGCTCCAGCTGAAAGATCTGCTGCACTATTACTATCCCATTGAAATTGATCCCAACCGGACCCTGGAAGAGAAGCAACCTCTCATGGTGGAGTGGTGAGTGCCTGTGTATGACGAGCTTGGCCTCGTCCTGGCAACTTCTTGCCCCGAGGACTACCAGAACACAAGGCTTGGACTTCTGGAGGCTCAGCAGCGGCCTTAGTAGCTGTTTTTCCCACTGCCTGAAGGTTGCTGCCTGGGGAGCTGACTCTGCTGCCTTTCCCTAGGTGGACCAGGGCCCATGACCTGCTGTCGCAGCAGAAGATCCAGAGGGGTGACATAGCCCAGATAGTCAGAGAATCCGACGTGATGCTGAGGTAGGAGCTCGGGGTTCAGCTGCCTGCGGATGTTGCTCTCCTGCTGCTGTGCAAGCAGGTCTTGCTTTCACCCTGATCTGCACGCGAGCTCCACGGCGTGGCCGCTGCAAATCTCCCTTCCTAGGGCTGAGCGCTAATGGTGAAAGAGCCAAAAGTCAGTGCCAGGAGCCACAGCCAGAGCTCGCTCCTTGGCTGCAGGCTGCTCCATTCACGGCTGACTCCTTCCTGCTCAGAAACCGCTTCCACCTCCCTTGAGCCTTGGCAAGGAGCAGCCACGAGGACGGGCGATGGGCAGAGCTCCCTGCGCGGCTCATCAGAGCCCTTGGCAGTTTGCAGGGTGGGGAGGCAGCGTGCAGCTCCCCTCTTCAGGAGAAATTTTTTCTCCGCTCACTGTAACTGCTGGGCCTTATCCAGACCCTTGGCTCAGCATCAGGTTTCACCCACAGCACAAAAGTGTTGCGCTAAAGCTTGCTGTTAAAGCTGGCCTTGGCAGCGCTGGTCCTAAAACCAGCTCAGGGAGCCGTGGTTTGAACGAGCTGCCATCTCAGAGAGGACATGGTGCTGTCAGTCCGGGTTTTCATGGGCCCAAGTTCCCCTTTTGCACGGAAATCCTGTCCTGGCAGACTGACTCTTACATGTGTGTCGGATTGTCCTCACAACCAGCCCATCCTGCTGCACATCAGGGTTTCTGCGTGGGCTGGCAGCACCCACGCTCGTAGGTGTGTGTCCAGGCACCCTGTGCCTTCCGTCCCCACTGAGAAGAGAAGCTGGATACTTTGGGGAGATTCTGGGCAAATTGCTCATGTGCTGCGTGTTCCTCTGAGCTCCCCGTTGGGCCGCTGCTCCCAGGAGGGGTCTGGGGTTCAGCTGCGCACCCCTTGCACACACAGTGTCTGCCACAGAAATGCTGGTGCCATGATTGTTGCAGAGCTCACGCGTGCGTTTCTCTTTGGGAAGTCCCGGGCAGAAATATGAGCCCCTAGTTGGGCTGAGAGCATTCCCCGCACACGGTACACCGGCTGCGAGCTGGGAGGTGGTAATGCAATACGGTGTAATGGATATTTCTGCTCTAGGGATGGATTCAATGAATTGTTTGATCAGCTGCACAAGTACAACATCCCGCTGTTCATCTTCTCTGCTGGCGTCGGTGACATCCTTGAAGAGATTATCCGTCAGGCCAATGTCTTCTACGCCAACGTCAACGTGGTGTCCAACTACATGGACTTTGATGATAATGTGAGTGTCTGCATCGCGTTCGTGTGGTGAGCTTGCCGGGAGGAGAGAGATGAGCTTGCTGGGAGGAGAGTTGCTCGGCGGGAGCTGGGGGCTGCAGTGTGTTTAACGGCACCGCGGGGTTCTCAGCTGCCTATTAACAGTTCGAAGCATCTGATCCCTGTAGACAGAGCTGACCCTTTGCTGGGTCCTGGGAGGACTCTAAAGCCTGGTCATGGCCTCCTGCGCCATTTGCTCTGCCTTCAAAAACTGCAACTTGCTGCCCTCGTAGCAACCCTCTGAATTGGGGGGAGGGTGGGGTTCCCCTGCCCTCCCCGGGAGCTGGATCAACAGCGAGAGAGAGCAGAGGGTAGAGAAGCAGGCAGGCAGAGCGCAGGGACAGCTGAGCATCTGCTCCTGATCTCAGGGACTCCTGGCCTTTCAGACTTGCTTGTTGGTGGCAGGAGCATGTGCTCTGTCCCGGTGCAGGGTAAGGATGGAGTTAACCAGAGGTCTCTCCTGATCTGAAGGCCAGATGTCCTTTAAGGCAGCCTGGAAAGCTGTTGTTGATGTACCAAAGCCTCAAAAGTCCCAAAGCACATCAGAAAATTGCACGTCTCTTACAATGAAGCCCTCTGTTCCCACGAGCGGGGTGTTGGGACAGGCAGCCCTCGGCAGAGCTGGGACGGTGTGACAGTCCTGCCTTCTGCGAGGGCCCTGCTCTGCCCTGGGGCTCCCCTGGGTGCGGCTTTCTGCAGCCCCTGACCAGCTGCATGGCAACACAGAGCCCTGACCGGGGTCTCTAGGGTCTCCAGCCCTGGGGTTTGTTCTCAGTTTTGGGAAGGGCTTGCCTTGCAAAAGGGGCCTCCTGAGACCTCTCTCCAGGTGTTTCCTGGCTGCTGGGTTTCCAGCCTCAAGGGGCTCTCGGAGGTGAGAGCTGGTGCCTTGTGAGCATCCTCCCTGTTTGCCCATGCCGTAAGGGTACTGAGGCTGCAGCACAGTGGAGGGATTGCTGCGGGATCAGCTTGTCTGTCCTGTTTGCACAGGGGATCCTCAGGCGCTTCAAGGGGCCCCTCATCCACACCTACAACAAGAACAACAGCGTGCTGCAGGGTACGGAGTATTTCCAGCAGCTGAGCGCTAGGACCAGCATCATCTTGCTGGGGGACTCCATGGGTGACCTGACGATGGCAGATGGTGTTCCCAGTGTGGAAAACATCCTCAAGATTGGCTTTCTCAACGACAAGGTGGGTGGGGGAGGCAGTTGTGGTGCTCCCCTGCCAGTCTTCCCCAGGTGTGAAACCTGGGGGGCAGCACAGAGGGGCAGACAGCTGCCCGAGTGATGTGGGGGGTGTATGAGATGCGTGTGACCTCCTGTGGGGTGTGTGGGGGGGTGCTGGGGGTGTCTCCTGAGCTCCTGGTGCACCTGGGGCATTTCAGGGTGGTGGCTGACCCCTCTTTTCGGTTGCATTGAGAGATGCCAGTGCTGTGGGTGCAGCATCTTCATTCTCAGCTGCTGGTGTTCAGAGTCCTCTCTCCTCTCCGCCCCATCCCCGTGGCCGCGCTGCAAGCGGAGGGGGAAGTACCTGGATGCCTACGACATCGTGCTGGAGCGCGACGAGACGCTGGATGTGGTCAACGGGATCCTCCGGTACATTCTTATCGAGACCTGAGCTGGGAAGGCAGCGTTCCAGCTCCGGCCCCTCAGCAAGGCGCCTGGGCAGCGAATGTCCTTCCCGTGACGGAGCTGGAGTGGATCCTGGTACCAGCTGGACTCCATCCTGATGCTGGGCAGGCTCCCTGCCCTGGATCACATGTTGTGTGCATCCCGACATCACTAACCCCCTTCAGCCGGCCCTGGAGCGGGAGAGGTGAGATGGAGGAAGGTTCCCCGCTCCCTTTACCTGACCTGTGCCCCGCTCGGGCTTCATCCCAGCCAGCGCCTGAGGCCACAACAAACCGTTTCGTTTCCGGATGGAGCGCAGAAAAGGAGATGGTATGCTGTGGCTTGCAGACAGACCTGTTTTACATCAAAGCTGTTTAGTTTTACTGTGTTCCTAAGAAAACAAGTCTCTCTCTTGTCCCGTTTTCTGTGGGCTCAGCCCGTGCTGAGCTCTGCTGGTGCCTGCCGGGCATAGCATCACCCAGCCCCATGTCCCTCCCAGGTCCCCAGGAGCCCCAGCCCTCCTCTTGCTCCGTTACAGCTCTGGCTGTAAAACAAAAAAAGGCTTTTCCCCTCGTGCCTGTGGAGCTTGGTGCTTCGCCTGCTGCTGCTGCACGGAGCAAGAAGTTTGTCTGCCGAGGATTGGCCGGGGGGTTGGTGGCAGCCCCCATATCCGGATATGGATGGGGGAGGAGAGACCAATGGCAGCATTTGGGGCTTTAAGGAATATTTTAACTTACCATGTTTCTGTCCTATACTGATCCTGGGCTTTCCAAGAAGGAATGCAAAAAACAACCCTCTTGTTTCTGTGTAACCTCTGGGAATGTAAAGAGTAAAGCTACAACAGCCCTGATACAACACGGGGCAAATCCGGACTCTTGTGTGGGAAACTGCCTTCACATCCCGTCCCGCTTCCCTCTCCGGCAGCAGCAGGAGCCTGTGCTGGCGCAGGGAGACCGATCCAGCTCCTTGGGGACTGGTACTCGTTGCGGTGTGACCCAGCACAGGTAGGAAGCCCCTTCCCCGTGGTGTTTGGAGGGGAGCGGCTCTGGCTGAATCTCCGTGCTGCTCCGGGCCCAGCCGTGACTCCTCTCCATGCGATGGAGGAGTAAATGTGGATTCTGAAAGTGCAGGCTCCGTGCTCCATGTCAAAAATGTCGGCTGAATCAGGGCCATGGGTGGTTTGTCCCCAGCACCCAGGAGCTCTCCTCCTCAGCTCCAGGTCAGACCCATCCCAGCCGGAGCCTGGAGCGCTCTGCGCTGGAGCCGAACACATCCCGTCCTGGCTGGAGGATCCCAGGAGCGGAGTTTTGGTTTCTCCCTCTCCTGCCCAACCCAGCAGATGCTGGAGCCCAAAATCCCCCCGGGGCACCGTGCTCTCAGGGGCAGGCGAGGCTTGTTTCTGCTCCGCTGCCCGGACACGCCAGCGTGTTTCATGGCAAAGTCACCTGACACAGGCAAACTCCTGGGAAACCAGTAGAAATTATTTATTTGGGGCAAGGTCGAATTTATTTGAGGGCTTCGCTCTGACCCTCTGCACTGTTCTCGCACTTCTTTTACCTCTGTCTGCAAGACACACCGTGCAAAAGCTTTTAGAGGTGGTGGGAGGAGATGGAGAGGGTCACAGCTGGCAAACCTGACAATTAACCCAAGTTAATGAGCTGCGTTTTGGTATCGAAATTGGGCTGATTTTCCTCAGTCGCTGAGGGCTGCCACTGCGGGATGGGGAGATGCGGATGGGACGATGCTGCTCCCTGAGGGCTCCCTGAAGGCTGGGAGAAGCTTTGTTTTCCTTCTCCCGGCTGAGGGGGGGGTTTGCCAGGTCCCACCCAGCTGTCTCGGGAGGGGGGCCAGGCTTTCTGGA